GCTGCCGCACAGGGTCATCTGGGGACCCGGGCTCCTCCTGCCTTCGGAGCGCTGCCCTCATTCGGGCATCTTTTTGTCCACGTGGTTAGGAGGGCATCACACCAAGACATTTCTTCAAGCAGCGAGCTGGAGGAGGAAGTGGAAACGGGCGGTTTCCATGAGGGACATGACCCAGGATGTATGCACACCCGTGCCACTAACTCACTGGCCAGGCCTCGGGCAAACGGCCTCTCCTGGTCTTATTTTGGGGGCCTATCTGCTCAGCCCCAAATCAGGGATTTCATTTCAGAGTACAGGAGCGTGGACACAGGAGGACGGTGCAGGTGTCAGTCTCGGGGAGGCAGCCAGTGCAGGGCACACAGCCACTGACATGCACCCCAGAGGTTCAAGGGCAGCGGGAGGTGGGCGTTCGAATGAGGGAGGAGAGAGACCCGGCGTGAGAGGTCGAGGTGATGTGTGATGGTACTTGGAGGAGGCTGTGCCAAGCGGGGGCTGGAGAAGGGCGCTAAGGAGTCCTCAGTGTGGGCCTTGGTGGGTGTCAGTGGATGCCAGTCTGAATTTACCCATCAATTCCGCTGGAATTCATTCATTTAGCACCTGCTATGAGCCTAGCCCTGCATGGTGTGCTGAGGAGGGGTGTGTGTGTGTGTGTCTGTGTGTGTGTGTGTGTGTGTGTGTGTGTGTGAGCTGTGAAGACACGCTCAGTTCAGCTAAAAGCCATCTTGGTTTTTTCTCTGAATTCCTGCTCGAGAGGCTCTCCAAGCCCTGACCACACAGTCCCCGGTGTTACAGTGGCCTGTACACGTGTTGCACACGCATTTGCATTCCCCAAGGCAGGGTCCTATCCGCCTAATGTGTGTACCTGTCGCCTTGCCCAGAGTGGTGTCTGATTCATGTTAATCAGCAAAATGGATTAGTGCACACGAGCCCAGCCGCCATGCAGTGGGGTGGACGATCGTTTCACAACGCGTGAGGCAGAACCCTCACCGCCGAGCCCGGGATGGAGGCAGGCGGAGCAGCAGAGAAAGAGCGTGGCAGGTGCGCCCTGCTTTGTTTTATCAGCCCGTCCGTGCATGGTCGTGGGTGTAGAACAGTGGTCGGCAAGCTGCGGCTCGCGAGCCACATGCGGCTCTTTGGCCCCTTGAGTGTGGCTCTTCCACAAAATACCGACTTCTGCGCATGGGCCACGAAGTTTCAATCGCACTGTGTGTGCGTGCCCCGCACGGGTATTTTGTGGAAGAGCCAAACTCAAGGGGCCAAAGAGCTACACTCAAGGGGCCAAAGAGCCGCATGTGGCTCGCGAGCCGAAGTTTGCCGACCACTGGTGTAGAAGGAGCCCTGGTTCGTAACCTTGGCTGCCTATTGGAATCTCCTGGGAGGCGGGGGCGGGGTGAAGGGGGCTGAAAAAATACTGTTCTGGGTCTATTTCCCTGGTCTGGGGTCTGGTTTGCAGCCTGGGCATGCGGTTTGCAAAGCACCCTCCTGGCGATTCGAATGAGCAGCGAGGCTGCGAATCACTGCAGAGGGTAAGCCAGGTGAACTTCAGCAAAGCAGGTGGGGTGGCCCTTTCCCTGTCCCAGTCCTCCAGGGTCTGCTTTAGAGCGCCGTCATGCTCAAAATCAGCGGTTCTCAACCTTCTGGCCCTTTAAATACAGTTCCTCATGTTGTGACCCTCAACCATAAAATTATTTTCGTTGCTACTTCATCACTGTAATGTTGCTACTGTGATGAATCGTCATGTAAATATCTGATATGCAGGATGGTCTTAGGCGACCCCTGTGAAAGGGTCGTTCGACCGCCAGAGGGGTCGCGACCCACAGGTTGAGAACCGCTGCTCTAAATGCTACCAGAAGAAAAGCAGTAGTTGGCTAATGGGTGCCTAAGCGGACCGACCGATGGAGTGAGGCCCGAACTCCCTACCTCCTCGGCGGCGGCCAGCCCAGCGGGTTGCTCATGGCAGGTCATCCGCGGACACTTGTTTTTCTTGACGGGAGATTTGCTTTCAGAGGCTCCCTTTCCCAGAATGGGATGAAAAAAAAAAATCTGCTTTTCAGCCTCAGAATCCTCGCCATTTCTGCCTTTTCCAGATTGCTGACGAAGCAAGAACCCTTTCTGGGTTAAGTTTCTAGGCCACAGAATGTGCCATTATTGCCAAACCCTAATCGCCTCCTATTCCCTGGAGTGTGACCCAGTCTCTGCCTCGCCCTAAAGTTGTAACCGGGACCAGCCTGTGCCTCGGCGGGGCCCACAGAGCCCCGAGACACCGATGAGCTTTCCTCCCGACTTCCCACCCGTGCCGATCGATTCCCAGGCTCCAGATGTAGCTTCTCCCCGGGGAATAGCTGTGTTCTCTGCTGGCTCTGCAACCTGCATGGGGTGTGTCATTCGTGAAGCAATTTGGGGCACTGGTCCTCCCCCAGCTGAGTGTCACTGGCTCTGACTCCCACGTTGTCTCGATGGCACAGACAATGACTAAACGCAGGGAGTTTGTCTCATTGGGGGTCACACCAGGCAGCAGAACAACAACAAAAAAAATGCACCGCATCCGTTACATTTGCTAGACAAATGCGAAGTGCCATTATTGTAAAGGGAGAGCAAAGGCATCCTGTTCCCTTTCTGAATCTGCCGACCAATCAACGCCGTGATTGATGAAATTCAGGAGGACAGTGATCACCGATTGTAGCTCAGGGAGGTGGGCGGCGAGCACGCGGCCACAGCCCCGCGCCATCGTGGCCTCTCAGCGGTGACATCACTGCTGTTACCACTCAGCGCATCAGCGTGAACGGCTGCCAGAACCGCCGGTATCCTGGTGGGAACCAAATAGAGCAGCCACTTACGCGAGGCCTCTCCCCGGGGAGCATGCGTGCTGTTGAGGTTGCGTCAGCGGGCTGTGCGGATGAAATGACAGCTTGTCTTCAGCGAGGCTGTGTAGCCCTGTTTGTATCAGGGAGGCGTCCAAACACGCCAGTGCGGGGCCTCAGATGCTTTTGGTCATGGCGATACCAGCTGCCAATCGGAACCAAGAGTGGTGGACATTGCGTTGCTTCAAGTTATCTATAAAGCATTTCAATCACAACTGCTATGGACTTTAAAATAGTTTTTTTCTTTTATTGATTTTTAGAGAGAGAGGAAGGGAGAGGGATAGAGAGATAGAAATATCGATGAGAGGGAGACATCGATTGGCTGCCTCCTGCACACCCCCTACTGGGAATCGAGCCCGCAACCCAGGCATGTGCCCTGACCGGGAAGCGAATCCTGACCTCCTGGTTCATAGTGACGGTCAACCACTGAGCCACACCGGTCGGGCCTATTGCGGACTTTAAGAGGAAGGCGGAGTGGGAGGGCATGTCAGAGGTATGATCATTCGGAACGTGCTTGCTTTCCTCCATAGTCTGTAAAGGTGGTGGGGACAGGGTCTGTGTAAGCTGTTCACTGCTCAGCCCCTCACCCCGAAAATGGCAGCCTGTCACCGAGGCGTACGACAGCCCTGTGCAGTGGGGATGGGGAGCTGAGACTCGAGGGCTTGCGCCACCTGCCCAGGTCACTCAGGTGGTACGTGCCGGGTCTGGATTCAAATCCACTCTGTTTCCCCAACCCCTGTCCTTTGTGGTAGACCCACGTTTCCGGGCACTAGGGAATAAGAACACGCTTCCCTGCATTTCTCAGCACAGATGCGCACCTTTGGGGTTTTCAGCGCAACTTGGACACCACTCTCGGCCACCCCAGCACGTTCCCGTTCCCGTGACCCACTGTCGCGTGCGCACGTGGGCGCCAGGCTCGCCTGGTCTCACCCATCCCCTCTCTGCTGATTCTCGTCCTCCAAGTCATCATTAGGCTGAGAGGTTTTGGTCAAAGGCAACCTCTCAGTTTCCAGGGGCTGTTGGAACTGGATGCAGACCCTGCGCCCTCAGGCTGGCCCTCCCGGGGGCTGTGTTAGTCTTCTGGGGCCACCGTTAGTCTTCTGGGGCCAGCCTGGTGGCTTAGACAAGAGACATTTATCTCCTCCAATTTCCGGTGGCTGCAAGACCCAGATCAAGGTGTCGGCCGTGTTGGTTTCTCCCGGGGCCTCTCTCCTTGGCTTGACGATGGCCACCTGCTCGCTGTGCCCTCACCCCTGCCATTTCCCAGGGGTTGGACCAAACGCAGCCTCTTCCTACTGCCACAGCTTTGCGGGCAGCAGCGTGTAAAGCCAGCCCCCGAGCTGAGACAGTTAACCCAGCACCCATGGGGCGAGGTCCGGGCCATTCATCCTCCCAATTAGCTTCGGCTCCTGTCTCCCCACAGGCCCAGGGTCAGGACCGAATCCGCGGGTGCAATGTGACCCTTTGCAGAAGTGCCAGCTGCTGAGTGGGCGGAAATGAGATCATGACCGTCACTTCTTTCCTTGTAGGACGTCCCTTCCCAGGAGGTCCCAGGTGCTCCCCTGCCCAGAGCTGGTCACTGGGTAGTGGGGGCAGCATGACCCATTCTGGGGCTCGCTGTCCAGGCTGCACAAAGACAGTCATTACATCACAGCAGTGCCCAGGGAGGCCGGCACCAGGCGACCCCTACAGGGCAGAGGAAGGAGGGGAGGGCCTCTCTCTTCGCCGGGGGAGATGAGCTTACCTAGACTGAGAAGACTGGTCCCTGGTTGCTCAGGAAAAGGCTTTTCCTTAACAACAATGTGTAAGTTGTCCTCCACGGCTTGGAAGATGCTAGACCAGCGGTTCTCAACCTGTGGGTCGAGACCCCTTTGGCGGTCGAACGACCCTTTCACAGGGGTCGCCTAAGACCATCCTGCATATCAAATATTTACATGACGATTCATAACAGTAGCAACATTACAGTTATGAAGTAGCAACGAAAATAATGTTATGGTTGTGTCACAACATGAGGAACTGTATTTAAAGGGCCAGAATGTTGAGAACCACTGTGCCAGACGTTGTGCAACGTGCTTAAGCGCATCATCTCACTTCACACTCGCCCTGGGGTGTGGCCTCCACTGTGCCCCCCGTTCACCGGCGAGGATGAGGGGGTGAAGGGAATGAAGCTGGGGCTTGTGAATCCAGGATCGGAATCAGATGGTCTTACCCCCGCCCTTTGGGTTTCTTTATTAATTGTCTTAATGATAAAGGTGGCATGTCCCATTGTGACCAGAACATGATGGGACACTGATAGGCAGAAAGGATCAGTTAGCTCCTCGCCCCTCTCTGTTCCCAGCTGGTCCGACGTGACTGATGTTAAAAGCTTGGACCTGTGTCCTGCTGTGATCTCCATGCGTTTCACACACAAACACACGCCCACACGTGTGTCCACACACGCAGGGGTGGCTTTTCGTTTTCTCTTCTTCCCAATAATGAAAACATGGTTTTTCTATAACTTTTCCCCCCCACATGCCATTACGGGGACAGCCCTCTAGAGCAGTGCCCGCACCTCTGGTGAGCCTGGCGAAGGTGCGTGCAGCATGGACACTGAGCGCCATCCACCAGGCGCTCAGGCCGTGGTCAGAAGCAAAGGCACAAGAGGACTCGTTTCTGCGCTTTGCCCACTTCTGGTCACGTGGTTTCCCCTGGTCAGGTGGCCATCCTGACTATTCCCTAGAACAGTGGTCGGCAAACCGCGGCTCGAGAGCCACATGCGGCTCTTTGGCCCCCTGAGTGTGGCTTTTTCACAAAATCCCACGTGCGGGCACGCACGTACAGTGTGAAGTTGACTTAAAACTTTAAGTAAAGTTTATTAAGTTAATTTTAGGGAACGTTGTGGAGTGAAAGAAGATGTAGTATCGAGGATGGAGAAAGGTATGTTGAGATGGTTTGGACATATAGAGAGGATGAACGAAAGGAGATAGATGAAACAAGTATACAAGACAAGTGTGGATGGGGGAGTTGGAAGGGGTCGACCTCAGCGAATGTACCTCAATCAGATTGAGGACGTTTTTAGCAAAGGCCAGCTTAGGAGTCCCCTCATTAAGTTCTTAACAACGTACCTACCTATATAGTTTCAGTTTAAAAAATTTGGCTCTCAAAAGAAATTTCAATCGTTGTACTGTTGATATTTGGCTCTGTTGACTAATGAGTTTGCCGACCACTGCCCTAGAAGGTCCCCTGGTTTAAGACAGGGCTGGGGGGCCCTGGCTGGTAGCTAAATGGTTAGAGTGTCAGCCCTTGTACCGAAGGGTCACGGGTTCCATTCCGGTCAAGGCCAGGTACTGGGTTGCAGGCTCGATCCCCAGTCTCTTGTGTTGGGGAGGCAACTAATCGATGTGTCTCTCTCACATCAATGTTTCTCTCTCTCTCTTCCCCCTCCCCCCCACCTCCCTTCCACTGTCTCTGAAAATCAATGGAAAAAATATCCTCGGGTGAGGATTAACAAAGAAAAAAAAAAGAAGAGGCTGGTGGAAAGGGTCCCGGTGTCGGTGTCACTTCTGCGGAAGGTCTGGCGGCGATGTCCGTGTAGGACATAAAAAAATGACGCTCTCCACCACCTCAGTGAGGAATGACGCTGAGCGCCCCGGGGTGCCCCGCACCCCGACATCCTGCCTCCTGCCCCCAGACAGCTCTTCCTCGACATCTCCGCTCAGAGGCCATTCCCCTCCCTCAGAATGAATGGCTTCTCTCTCTCCTTTCGTCCCGCATCGCGCTGCTCACGGGCTGGCTCCGTTAATACTGTGCTTCCCATGTATTGACGCGTGGAATCCGCGATGCATACGCTCATTTGCATGGCAGTCTCCCCGGGCCAGGCCGCTCTGCACCCGCCGCCTGGTAATTGCTGATGATAAATACCTGCTGAGTGAGGGCCTAGGCGGGGCTCTTCGGCACCGGAAGGCTTGCTAAACCCTTGCCCTTCTCATTCTAGAACATTCTCTGCTGTTAGTGTCTCTCCTCTCAAGTAATCATCTTTGCCTAATTGCTCCCTGTACTCCAGACACGATTCCTACCCCCCACCCCTGGCTTAAAGGACAGAAAAGAAGTGGGTAGCTGTTCGTGTTAACTTAAGATGCCTCTCAGTTGCCAGCCAGTTGTGGGAGAATTGTGTCCCTTTCAAAATCTGGCACGATTTGAGAGAGCACTTTTATTCTCACCCCCTCCCTGAGTGGGCTGGTAGGTGGTTCAGCACCTTAACAAGGGAGTGAGGAAAGGCGTTTGAAATTCAAGTGTGTCTGAAGTTGCATGAAAATGAGGATCAAAGACAGGCTGGGAGGTGTGGCCAGGGCGGGGCCAGAACCCCAGGTTTGGTCCTGAAAGGAACCAGTTGCTTCCCAGGAGAGTCCTGGGGACCCCAGGAAGGCCAGAGACAGGTCGGAGAAGCTGGTGAGAGTGAGGCGCAGAGGTGGCCGGCCAGGGCCAGGCAGGAGGTGGCGGGAACTGGAGGCTGTGGGTTCCCAAGACAGAAGGAGCCGACCTCCATCCCAGGAAGATGCCAAGGCCCAACCCTTCAGGAATAGAGACCGCGGGCCACAGGGGAGCATTGTGGGGGCTCTTCCACGTGGTCATGGCTGGGGGAGCTCTGACCTGCCAATGCTGCCTGTCCAGACTCGAGTCCAGAGCAGCTGTTAGCGACAATGCACCCTGCACACAGGACCACCCCGCCCTGCAGGGGGCGTGGGTGAGGGCTGGGACAGGCGTCTTCAAAAGGAAAGGCTCTGCCTCAGGTGCTCCTCAAACCTCTGTTCCGTGACTCTCAGCCCCACTGTTTAACAAAACCACCTGAGATGTGTCTAAAAAATGCAGCTTGCTGGTCCAGAGAGGCCAGCTCAGTGGACTGGGGTGGAACCCGGAAACCTGCACGTTAAACCAAGGCCCCGGGTGGTTCTGATGCAGGTGGCCCAGGAACCCTGCTTTGGGAACCAGTGCCGAGCACCCACTTCTTCTTTTTTTTTTTTTAATTGCTAAAAGTATTACAAAGGGTATTACATATGTGTCCTTCCCCGCCCCCCCCCCCACCCTTGACAATCCCCTGGCCTCCCTTACCTCCCAGTGTCTTATGTCCATTAGTTATTCTTATATGCATGCATACAAGTCCTTCGGTTGATCTCTTACCCCCCTCCCTCCTGCCCCCCAACCCTCTCTGGCCTTCCCGCTGCAGTTTGACAATCAGTTTGAGGCAGCTCTGCCTCTGTATCTATTATTGTTCAAAAGTTTATAATGGTCTTTATTAT